ATAAGCTTGACCAACTGGGGAAACTCCAATCTCTACTAACCACACAAAAAATGCAAAACTCCATCTCAAAAAAAAAAAAAGGCAAATGACTTGCCTGAAATCACAAAGGAAACAGCACAGATTTGAGACCAAGCTTCTGAAACCCCAGAACCCAAACCATTTGTCCTAGTCTGTTCAGGGAGCTATAACAAAATGCCTCAGACCGGACAATTTATAAACAGCTGAAACGTAGTGCTCACAGTTCTAGAGACTGTAAGGTCCAACATCCAGGCTCCAGCAGATTCGGTGTCTGGTGAGGTCCAGATCTCTGCCTGAAAGATGGTGCTTTTTTGCTGCACCCTCACAAAGAGGAAGGGACAGAAAGGCCTAAACACACACACACACACACACACAAATAGGCTGCCTTTTATAAGGGCACTAAATCCCATTCATGAGAGCAGAGCCCTCATCACTTAATCACTTCCTAAAGGTCCAAACTTGTAACACATTGCGTGGGGATTAAGTTTCAACATGAATTTTAGAGACACGAACATTCAAACCATAGCACCATTCCTGTAGACTCTATATACAACTCTCTGCCTTTGTCCAGATACTTTGTGAATACAACTGAGTACAGCTTAACTCATGTCTATCATGAGGTTCCACTAACTATCTTGATTAGACCTCCTCAATCTCACATTTTCTAAAGTAGCTACTCACAGATGTTTAATGGCATACAATGTATCGCTTTTTACTAGATTAAATCCAGCCAGAACATGGATTCCAAGACTGGAGCATTTTAAGTGAACTCTACTGACTGGGCCATGCAAAATGACTTGTTATTAAACACTTAACTATCTTGCTGGGACTTCTGCAACCATTTTAGCACATACCAAAGCTCAAGAGCGATAAGATTTTTAAATACCTAGCAGGGTTGAAGACACACAAACTCTGTGATCCAGCAAATCAATTTTTTTGGTACACATCCTTGAGAAACACAGATGTACACAGGAAATCATGTATAAGAATGAACACTAAAGCATTTACAAAGCAAAAATTGCAAGCAACTCCTATGCCTTTCAATTAGAGAACCATTAAATGCAGCAATTTACAGAAATTAACTAAATCTAATGTGCCAATGTAAAAGAATCTTGAAACAAAATGCTGAAGGGGG